TGGACCCCATGTCCTGAAGCACGGGACCCCCCAAAGCGTGGGGCCTGGTGCGATTGCCCTGGTCCATCCTATGGACAGGACGGCTCTGGCTAAGACTCTTCCTGAGCAGTGTTATTCTGAATCAGGTGCTAACCTGACTCCAACAGGATGGTATAAAGTTGAATGTGGCCAAGTGCCATTTTGCAAAAGCTGCTGTAGTTTGTAGGGCATTCTCTGTGGGCTGATGATGTGAAACAAATGCCTGAAGGACTACAAACTGTTGCTTCACTACCATTATCCACTGATTGTAGCAGTTTATGTTCATTCCTTGGCCTAGTTCAATATATAGGATGCCGTGTTCCACCCCATTTTAGTACCTTTGCCACACCGCTGTGGGATTTAACTATGGGCCAGAGCCAGTTGGTTCAGACTAAAGAAACAAAGCCCTTTGTTGGATCCAATCCCATGCTTATTTTCATATATGGAAGCCGGCAGTAATTCAAACTGATATAATGCAATTGGGGTCTGGATGCAGTTCTGCTCCAGGAGAGATGGCTGGTTCCATTTGTGTCCTGTACTCTGACACTGATGGAAAGAAAATATTCCCAGATTGAGCTAGAGTTCTTGGGAATAGTTTTTGCTATTGTACACTTCAAGGTCTACTTAGTGGGAAAATATTTCACCTTAGAAACTGATCATTTGCCCATTTACTTGCTGAGAGCGAAGCTGCAGTAGTGGATTATTCAATTGCACCAATATGACTTTGATTTGGTACATAGCAAAGGAATATGTAATTTTTATTTGCTGATACTTTTGAGAAATTCTGCTGGGTTAGCACCCTGGCATGCAAAAAAGGCAGAGTACACCATATGCTTTTTACTGAAAGATATGCCAATTGACTTAGGGGAGACTTAAAGATGCTGAACGGTGCAAGGTGATATGAGCTGTACAAGCAGATTGGATGGACCCAGTCTTTAAGAAAACTTTTTAGCTACATTCTATAAAATTCGTTCAGCACTCACAGGAAACACGTGTGCTACTCAACGTATCTTATGCAGAGGAGCCTAGTTGATCGTTCCAGGATCGTTGTGACAAAAAGTCCTAGATGTGGCTCATGAAGGACATTTGGGATTTACAAAGATGAAAAAACTTCTGCGTAGTCATGGTTGGTGGTCAAGCTTATGCACGGACATTGAACATCATTTGAAGGCATGCTCTGCCCGCAAAGTGCATATGTCTGTTCCTCCAGATCCTTTGAAACTGGTAGTCATAGACAGATCATAGCAGAGAATTGCAGTGGCTACTACTGGCCCCTTGATTTCACTGAATGATTACATCCCATTGACTGTTTCAGACTATTACTCATGTTATCCCTTTGCATTCATAACTTCACAAGGCATCTCAGAGGAGCTCATTTCTTGCCTAATTACTTTATTTGCTATGCTTGGCTTACCAGAGAGTCTCGTTTCAGATAACAGGATGTCCTACATACTGTCATGGGGTAGACACACCCCATCACAGGGTGTCAGGTCACGTAGGGTTAGATGGAAGGGTGGAGGTGATTCTGCAGCCAGTCAGGTCCTGAGGCTGAAAGCATAGTTAACCTTTTGGGGGCTGGTGTAGGGTAGGCATACCCCATCACACACCCTACCTCTCAAGACAGGACCCGGCGGGGGTCCATCCCCATTGCCCCCTTCTTCCCCCCAGCCGGGGAGAAAAAGTCTGCATTAGTGTGGGCCCTACCTGGACAGTGTAACAAGCTGAACTCGTAGAGTTGGAGGCTGAGGTATCATCTCATAATCCATGAGTTCAAATCCTTCATGATGTTGATCCATTGTAGGAGTGCATGGTCTATAATAAGATGAAAGGGGCTCCCCAATATGTAATACTATTGCCCGTTTTACTGTTAGGGCATCCTTTTAGATGGTGGAGTACTTGACTTCTCGGGGAAATAGCTTCCGGCTTAGGTACAGCACCAGGTATTTCCCCCCCATCTTGTTCCTGTCCGTAAGAATGGCCATACTGGGTTAGACTAAAGGTCCATCTAGCCCAGTATCCTGTCTTCTGACAGTGGCCAATGCGAGGTTCTTCAGAGGGAATGAACAGAACAGGCAATCATCAAGTGATCCATTCCCTGTGGCCCATTCCAAGCTTCTGGCAAACTGAGGCTATGGACACCATTCCTGTCCATCCTGGCTAATAGCCATTAATGGAGCTATCCTCCATGAATTTATCTAGTTCTTTTTTGAACCCTGTTATAGACTTGGCCTTCATAACATCCTATGGCAAGGAGTTCCACAAGTTGACTGTGCGTTGTGTGAAAAACAACGGCTCCCAGCCTCACTTCTGAGCCGTCTGTTTGTAAAATAAAGGGTTTTGAGAAGTCTGGGAGGAACAGGATGGGTTCATGGGTGAGTTGATCTTTCAAGGTCCGGAAAGCTCTTGCACAATCTGCCAACCACCGGACATTCCATGGCCGGGAGTTCTTTGTGAGGTAGAAGAAGGGGGCGGCTATCGTGGCAAAGTCTGGCATGAACCCTCTGTAGTTTCCAGCCAAACCCAGGAACTTCCTTACCTTTCTTTTCGTTGTAGGGGTGGGGTAGTCCTTCAGGGACTGTACCTTGTCCACCAGGGGGTGGAGTTGTCCCGCCCCCACTGTGTATCCCAAGTAGGTCACTTCTTTCCACCCAAGGGGACACTTGTTGGGGTTAGCTGTGAGTCCTGCTTCCTTCAGGGCCTGTAGGACCGCGGTGAGATGTAGGTGTTCCTCCCGACTTGTGCTGTAGACCACAATATCGTCAATATAAGCTGCCGCATACTGCCAGTGTGGCTGCAACAGTTGGTCCATCAATCACTGGAATGTAGCCACAGCCCCATGTAACCCAAAGGGCATGGTGATGAAATCATATAGACCGAGTAGTGTAGGGAAGGCTGTCTTCTCCAAGGAAGTCAGGGTCAGGGGTATTTGCCAGTACCCATTGGTCAAATCTAGTGTTGACAGAAACTTAGCACTACCCAGCTGTTCCAGCAGTTCATCCACCCATGGCATGGGTAGGCATCAAAGCGGGAAATGGCATTGATCCCCCTAAAATCTATACAGAGCCTCATAGTCCCATCAGGCTTTGGGACCAGGAGTATGGGGCTTCTCCATTCACTCTGGGATTCTTCCACTACTCCCAAGGCTAGCATCACCTCGAGTTCTTTTTGGACCACTTCCCACATTTTCTGGGGAAGTGGGCGATATTGGTTGCGGACTTTTTGTCTAGGAATGGTGTCTATGTGGTGGCTGGTAATACTTGTCCATCCTGGACAAGAAGATAAAACAGAGGTGGCCAGTACTGAGACAGCCTCTGGGTAGCAGGTCACGTAATCAACTATCACTAGAATACACTGACACACCCTGTGAGCCGTAGTCCCGTAGCTGGGGTTTGTAGCAACTCCCTGCAGGGAGCTCACAGCCTCCGTCCTTCCCCGTCAGCAGCCACTCCAGACTGAGATGGGCTGCTACCTTTTATATGCTGCCTCCAGGCGAGCATGCCCAGCAGGGTCAGAGGGACGGGGCTTCCTCAGCCTGCAAAGCATAGTTAACCCTTTTGGTGCTGGTGTGGTACCCAGTCATGTGTACCAAAAGAGTTTGAAGGCTTTCTGATGAGAATTGGTACATTTCATTATAAATCTGCTGTGTATGCCAAGGAAATGGGATAGTGGAAAGATTGCATGAGACTCTGAAGTAACATGTAGCTTACATATTAGAGAAACACTGAGATACACCCTTGCATTAAGTCCTGCTTTACATGCTAGTCAGAGTATGCCTCATGAAAGTACTGGAGTAAACCCGTTCTATCAGCTCTTCAGCCAACCTAGTAGGATCAAATTGTTTATAATGACAGAAGAGGATCATCCCACTCCTTCGCTGTCCTTGAAAACAACGGATGTGATTAGGAAATACATGAGTTTCAACAAGCATATCCATAAGAGACTCTAGGCATTCTATCCTGGACAGGCAGTGTATGTTAGATGGGGATCTGGAAGCATTTTGAATGCTTGTGGCATGATCTTCCGGGCTACAAGCTAAGGAGCATGCCAAATGCATTTGCCACAGGGAGAATGCACTGTTCACCAGCAAGATATACTGCTTACTGAAAGAGGACCAGACAGGGAAGAGGATGCTCTTTCTGTGTATGATGGTGTCATGTGGCCAGCTGGGGAAGTTGTAGCACAGCAAGAGCACCCACATAGTGATCTGAATCAGAGGTACAGCCTACAGCCCCAAGGTCATTTGATGCCTCCCACTAGGCATTGCTGAACTTTTGGGGAGAAGGGAAGGAAAGTGTGTGTGTGTGTGTGTGTGTGTGTGTGTGTGTACACCATTGGATGTGTGCTGCTATTCAGGACCCATTGATACATATCTGCTGTTCAGACTGTTATGTTTTGTTCAAACATAACTAGTTCATGGTTATTACATGTGTGTCTTGTTCTGTCATTGTTGTTTTGTGTTTTTGGATTGTTATTCTGGGATGCATCAGATTATATACCTTAAAAACTTGTAATAAACAATTAGACTGAAATATTGTAAGTAGTTCATGCACCACAATTTTAAAAGTAAAACCCCTTCTCCTTCCACAACTGAATACTCTGGTGCTGTTGTAACATGCTTATAATTTGATCTGTATTGGGGATAACTTTGTACTTACTTCTTCTGCAGAGGTTTTAATATCTCTCATGGAACATTTAAGTATTATCCATCTTTTGACAATCACTAACTTTTCAACACATTAAATAGAAAGACATCCTTGGTTAGGGAGTCAGAGATATTCACTTTTCAAAACAAAAAAAATAAAAAGGAAGTCCTTTGAAGTTTAGCCATAAACCTGAAATTCAGGTCTTTCTAATAAATGTTTTTTGTATCCTCAAACATAGTTCCAGCTTAACAACTTTTCCCTCCCTTGGGAACACTACAGTATGTTTTCTCAAAACACCTTTAAAAGAACCAGTGAAATGCAAGGAGATGTTCTACTCACCACACTAAAATCAAGGTTTTTGTCAATCCAGTCTTGTCCTTCTCTGAATTCATCATGAAGCCCCATGATATAGAGAGTATCCAAAGCATCTACTATGGTAGCACCCATTTGCGAATTTCCTACAAGCAAAAAATAAGATTTCTATTAGAAGTGATTATTTTACTGGGAAAAAATGTCACAGACAAAAATAAACAGTCAAAGTAGTCTTAGATCTTGACAAGGCGATAGTACCAGAAAGAAATCTCACAGTCAGACAGAAATTAGGAGCAACCTGAAGGCCCTGACGCTTAGGTGCATTGCTGAAGGCCACACATTTGGGTTTTGGGGGAAAAGAGAGAGTGAAACTTGAAAAGACCATTCTTATCTGATTTCCTTATCAGAAGATGAACAACCACATTCTCAGGCAGCTACAAGGACTGTAAGGACATTCAACTTCGAATACCTATTAGGGGATTCTTGGACAGGACTGGGGAAAGAGTTTTACCTAAGAGATCTACTGTAATTTCAAGTATCTGCAGTAATCCTTTGCACACACTTAGCAGAGGAATTACACTGAATTTTGCAAACACTGACGTTAACTAATTGCATGTCTTACTTATTGAAGGTAACTGTCAATTACCATCACTGTGTCATATTCCAGACAAAAAAGTACATTAAGATGCAGTTAAGGTTCCAGATATGTATCAGTACTCTGTAGTGATGCTATGCAATAACTATACAATTATGATTAAAGCATTTTTGTGTTTCTTGTCCCAGATTAGATTAAGGTGATTTTTTAAAGACACATTCAATCTTTTTCTACCCTCTCCTTTCTGGAATCACTTCAGGGGAGAGACAAGGTTTGGGTGTCTGTGATTGTGTGTATAAGCCCCACAGAGGGGAATCAAGGGTTAACATGCAATTCTGGGCCCAAAAGGTACTGCTGGGCATGCTAACAATGGAAGCAGAGCTCCAAAGGGAGCCGCTCAGTTCAGTCACAGCTATTAGGGCATGGGATCAGTCCTACACTAGTAGCTTCTGCACAGAGGCTGCAGAAGATCCACAGCACCTGACCAGAGCCCATGTCTGAGCCACTGAAGGCCCCCGTGCAGACTGGGAACAGCGGACCATGACTGATGGAGAAGAGCTTCCAGATCACAGTTAGGGAGAACCCCCTTTTTTGAGTCCATAAGCAGACCCTGCTCGGACTTAAGATGGTAGAGGACAGGGCAGGAAGCAACCCATGAAGCAGGCTTTGTGGTGCCCATTCCCAGGCTGCCTATCTGACTGCCAATCACAGGGCCCTGGGTTGGAACTTGCTGCAGCAAGGAGGGCCTGGTGTAAGCAGGACCAGCTCCAGGGTTTTGGCCGCCCCAAGCAGCCAAAAAAAAAAAAAAAAGACCGCGATCGTGATCTGCAGCGGCAATTCGGCGGAAGGTCCTTCGCTTGGAGCGGGAGTGAGGGACCATCCGCCGAATTGCCGCCGAATAGCTGGACCTGCCGCCCCTTTCCAGAGTGGCCACCCCAAGCACCTGCTTGCCAAGCTGGTGCCTGGAGCCGGCCCTGGGTGTAAGTCTGTATCCCATGCTCACCCTTTTTTCAAGGCTAAGATACATTTTGTACAAACTATGCCTTGTAAGGTATCATTTGAAAACCCATGATTTACTGATCAATTCTGTCCTTGTAAAATATGTGTGGCAACATTGTATGTAAAGTTAAAAGATTTTACTGTATAACATTACTGAGACATATTCCAAGTTTAGAAAAGCAGGCACAAACTGGTTCTTCGAAGACAAAAGGCAAACTGACACTTCAGACAGGTGTCAACAAAATCAAATAGACTATCACCTGGTTAAACAGCCATTCTTTGGCAGGAAAAAGGGTGTGAGCGAGAAATTTACATCTTGACAAAGAAGCAGCTGGAAGTTCCCATTTCCCCAGATTTTGTCTCCTGAACCCCAGCTGGAGATGATTCTCAAAGAAGAGAAAAATGAGGAGCAGAGGCCCCAAATCATCTCTCATGGCATCTCTACTCGTGGCATCAACAACACCTGAAGGACAAGAAAATGACCACTGAACTGGGGGAGAGATCTTAGCTGAAAGTACTGCAGCCAATAAGATTGCTAAAGCATGTTGGGAGATAAAATTTTGCTTTGAATTCACTTAGCTTATTAAGTTAGGTTTTAGTTGTGTTTTACCTTTTTTTTTTGTAACCAATTCTGATTTTTATGCCTCATTACTTGGAATCACTTAAAATCTATCTTTCTGTAGTTAATAAACTTGTTTTATCTAAACCAGTGTGTTTGGGACACTTCATTTGCGATAACAGGATTTGTACATATCATTTTCTATTAATAAATGACAGACTTAATATGAGCTTATCCAGGAGAGGGCTGGGCAGTACAAGATGCACATTTCTGGGGGTAAGTCTGGGACTGGGAGTTTGCTGGTGTTGCCCTGCAATGTAATTCACGAATGGCTGGCTATAGCACTCATACAGTATACCGGGGAGTGATTTACATGCTGGAGGCTGTGTGTGAGCGACCGGGAGTGGTTGCTCTCACAATGAAGCAGTGTCAGAGGCAGCCCAGGTTAGTGAACTGAGTAAATACAGGTGTCCATCAGTTCAGATTGTACTCTGGGGAATGTCACACCCGGGTTCCCCTACCACCAGCCACAGACCCTCACCCCTGGGAGACACAGCTGGACTCGGACATGAACCCCCCGACAATGTCTTAATTGCACATTTCTCAACTTCATATTTCTGGATTTCTTTCAAGCACAGCCATAACTCTGAATTTCCTGGGTTTGTGGTACTTGATTTTGGGATAATCACAATATCCCTGTAATTTTTTTCTACCCTAAATTACTGATACATAATTATAAACTTAACTCCATTATTTTTTGTAGTGGAATAAAAATTAGATACAACAATCTTTAATAGCTTAATTACAACCCTACACCTCTGACTGCTAGAAACTGGCCCTGGATGACAGGGGGTGGTCCTGTTCTGTTCACTGCCTCTGAAGCATCTGGCACTGGCTACTGACAGAACACAGGATACTGGGCTAGATGGACTATTGGTCTGATCCACTATGGCCATGCTTGTGGTCTTATGTAAACTAATTTCTTCAAATATAACTTATGCACAAGATTTAAATGAATTTTAATTATATGTAGAAAGTTTGAAATGTTACTTCTTTGTTAAAACAATTCAAGACAAAAAAGGCTGAAACAGTTGCTAAATATTTTAAAGGAACAGTTTTTAAATTAATTTAAATTGAAATTAATTAATGGATTTACTTGTAATTCTCAGAAAATTCACTCAGTATTCAAAGAATAAGTACTGTAAGTTCAGAAAGGATGTACTGTATTTTTCATACAAAATAGAGGTTGAATCCCTGCCAGAAGTGCAAAGTAGAATTCAGCCTTAACTATGATGTCACAACGAATGCCTCACTAATACTGTGATAGCTATTACAACCACATGCATTATATTTGGGGACGATTGGATTAACTTTATGAATGCTATATGTCACATTGTAGGCTAGGGATTGTGTTCTACTCCACAGGGTGCATTACCACAGCCCCTCCAGGATTTAAAAACAGTGATGGGTAATTACTGCTGTCCCTGGGACTCAAGAGAAGTACTTACCCCTGGGGTAAAATGCATATTTGGTTGTTGACCAAATAATTCAAGACTAGCACAATACATATATACTAGGGAGCAAAATTCAGGGTTATACAGGCAACCTTTACTCTGACATTTCCTAATGTATACGTTATTGACTATGAAACCTAAATAACGTTGTCCAAAAGTAGATTTGTATATTGTACTTGCAACTATACTGCAGTTTTCCTTTCAATGCAACTTCGAAAGTTTACTTAAGTTTACTTTTATTAATTTATCTTTTCTCCTTCTTCCGCATAAGTAGGCTTCGGTTTCACCTTAATCTAGGCACTTCCTCCCAATTTTAGATGTTTGCAAACTAATCCCATGTTGTAAATCAATACCTCTTCCTTGAGGAGCACTGTGGGTTAAATATTTTTAAAAGGTTGAGGACAAAAATCAGTATTTTGGAGCAATATCTCTGTTCTGTTGTGCTTCCAGAGAGAGCAAAGTAAGTGGAAAACACAAGTCCCCTGCCAGGGATTCTCTTGACTAGGGGAGACCCCAACCGGTGTAGCACTCCTACACTTCCCCCTCAGTAGTGTCTGACACACAGGAATGTTGGGGCTGGAGTTGAACATATAAGGGTCATGGAGGTGGGAGGTCATGAAGGGGCCCCCCAAATTATTCTAAAGTACACAAGTGCTCAGACAGAGAATCAGGAAGCAGTAACTGGTTGTCTCAGCTTCTCTTCTCCTCTCCTGGATTGTTCTGCCTGGCCGTAGGGAAAGGGGAGCAGACCATCCTTTATTAGGTGCTCCCCTGGGCTCAGGCAGTCTCAGCTGAGCACCTATTCTGTTCTCCTTGGGTCTCCCACAGCCTAATAGGGAAACAGGTAATGGTGCAAGCAGAATTACTCTCCTCCCTTTCTTGTGATTCACCTCATGGCCAACAGGGAAGCAACAGCAGCTGCTCAGAGCACTCCAGGCTCACACTGCAACTGTTTCAGGGGCTTGCAGGGTAGGGTTGCAAACTTTCTGATTGGATAAAACCAAACACCTTTACCCGCCCCCTGCCCCATCCATTCTCAGAGGCCCCTTCTCTGAGGCCCTGCCCCCACTCACTCCATTCCATGCACCCTCCCTTACTCGCTCTCCCCCACTCTAGCTCCCTCGCTCATTTTCACCTGGTTGGGGCAGAGGTTTGGGGTGCAGGAGGGGGTGAGGGCTCCGGCTGGGGGTGCAGAATCTGGGGTGGGGCCATGGATGAGGGGGCACTGGGCTGAGACAGGGAGTTGGGGTGTGGGAGGGGATATAGACTCTGGGCTGGGGTGCAGGTTCCAGGGTGGGGCAAGAAATAAGGGGTTCAGGGTGCGGAAGGAGGCTCTGGACTGGGGCAGGGAGTTGGGGTGCAGGAGGGGGTGAGGGCTCAAGTTGGGGGTGTGGGCTCTGGCGTGGGGCTGGGATGAGGGGTTTGGGATGCAGGAAGGGACTCTGGGCTGGGGCCGAGGGATTTGGAGTGTGGGAGGGG